TGCTACAGCACAATCAGCTGCAAACCAGCTGGAGCCAGGCCCCAAAGCACAGCTCGTCACCTGTGTGTGCCCATGGGCACCTGGCCCTGGGCTGGGCTCACTGCTGACCTGGGTTCCTTTGAATGCAGCAACTCTGAACCAGTGTGGGAGGGGCACAGATCTATGGCAGTGCTCAAGTCACTGACATCTCACAGCAATGGTAACCCTTCAATGAAACAAGAGAAAGAAACCATCAAAAACCCATCTGTGAGTCAGGAACCTCTCCTCAGGAAGAGATTACAAATAGCAGGAGATAATACAGTAATGCTGCTGTGGCTTGTGGGGAGCTTTGTGTGCAGCATCTGGGTGCACTGATACTTTGTCATGACCTTCAGTCACCAGGCTTAGGACATTTTGAAAGTTGTATTTTCAGAACCATTGTTATTTTTCTACACTTACCATGCTTTACAGTGCTCTGCTGGTCTTGAAGTCTGAGTAATCTCCTCTGGAGAGATAATCCCACAGTGCAAAGTCTAATATCTAAAATGTATTGGCCACTAAAGAGCCTTCAGTCACAAAATGACAATAGGGCCTCTTCATGTGTAGGAATCAGCCCAGTGTTCAGCCAGCCAGGATCAGAGACAACCTCACATAATTGCTATTCTTTATAAACAATTGCCATTTGTGTGCAGCTTTAATGAGCCATTGGGCCTGCCTTACGAGGGCAGGGCAGATCTGGGTCTGGTGCCAACAAACCTTAAGGGTGCCCTGGTAGGGCTGGGCAGCTCAGACAGGCACACCTGAGAGGTGGCAGCCTGCAGTGAAGAAAGAATTCAGAATGCCTACACACCAAAGAATCAGGTGGAAATTGCACTTGGCTTGACAATAAAGGTTAAATAAAGGTCTGGGGAAAAAATTACAATTGACAGCCTGAGTAAGGAGGATTTCTCTGGTGACTGAATTCTCTCTTACCTGGGGAAAGACAGTTACATTACTACTTACCAGGGTGTTCCTGGTAACCTTGAGTCCCTCACCCAAATCTCCTCCATCATGTCTGTGAATAAATGGGTATCACTATTCCACAAGGTCCATGGAGAAAGAATACATATAGAAATTAGGCTTGGCTGGGTTCTGTGGTAGATGAACCATAGGTACAGGTACCTGGCAGTTCATGTGGGCAGTTCTAATAATGGTCTAGGAGATCACAGCCATTGCCTGTCCCACTGGCATTGTCTTCCATGTTGCAGTTCATTGTTGCAAATAATTTTCATTCGTTCATGCAGAAAAGATCTACATCCGTGTGATTGATCCCTTCACCATAAAGCCCCTGGATAAGAAGACAATACTTGAAAATGCAAGAGCAACCAAGGGCAGAATCATCACTGTTGAGGACCATTACCATGAAGGTAAGAAGGGTCTGGGAGGTCACAGCCCTCAGAAGGTGGAAGTTCCCAGCTTCTGACCTGACAGAGGAGTATGAGACCTGATGCTGTCATCTCATGAAAGCAAAAGAGAGATTTCAGGTTTTTTGGTGCTGTTAGGATTATAAAGTGACACTGAGGATTGAAAGGCTCCAAAGATTTAAGGGGTAATCTGGGCTGTCTTTCTGATTCACTTGGCCTTGTGTGCCCTTTCTGTGCTTGGTCCAAGTGAAGTCCAGATTCATTTGTGCCCAGTGAAATTGTAAATTCCTGCTATGCTGCAGGGGTTCTGCTCACAGAGTTCTCTGAAAGGCTGCACAGCAGCTTCTTTGCAGATGTGAAATTGCAAGAGATACCATTGCTGTGCAGGTTTAAGTATTCCATGTGTCCAAAAGCTTGGCTCCAGGTTACCTGAAATCAGATGGTTTGGGCAGTTTCCAGTTTTTCCACAGTTACTCTGGGATAAATTCCTCCCTTTTTCTTCTCCACCACCATAGATATCTACTAACAGAAATTAGTAGATATCGTTATGAGAATATTATCTTAAATTAAGGTGAGCATCACTCTGGCTGGGTACCTGAAGTGAGCTGGCTCTGCTGTAAGTGCTGGATATGGATGGTGATAGATACCTGAACCTCTTCATTTTCTAGCTCAATGTTCAGCTCTGGATAAGCATTTTACTACAGGCTTGCAAGACAGCAGATTCTTAACTGTGAGGTGCTGAGCAGGGGCTCTGTGCTGGCACAGTGGTCTGTGGGGTGCAGGCAGGGCAGGTGTCTGTGCTTGCAGGCCCCATCCCACTGAGCTCACCAGCTGCATCCACAGAGGGGCATCTGGCTGCAGGCTCAGCTTGGTTAAATCCCACTATGCCAGGAGCTGTGAGCAGCCCTGTGATCCTGGATACACTCTCTGAAGGGTATCAGTAAGGTGTCCCTTCTACCAGGTTTTACAGCACATGCTTTTGACCCCAGTCCTGTTTTCTTCTTCCTTGGTACCTCTGCTTCCAGTGTCTCTCCTGCCTCCATGCAGTTCCCGTTGCATGTTTTGTGCCTGTGACTGATAGTGAGTCAGAGCTGAGCTCTGAGCAAAGGTTGTGAATACATTACATAAGCCAGAGAGGTGCCCAGCAGCACGTACAGACACTGTGAAAAGATGGAGCTCTGAGCTGCTGAGATTGGTTGGAATTTCAGCACGTTAAGTACACTTGTAAATGCTCTTCAGTCAAAGTGTATTTTTAAACCTGGCTCCTGGTGGCTGATGCTGAGGTGGTGAGAGCTTGCTGAAAATCCTGTGCCCTTGAGAGGCAGGTGTGTCCTGCTGCTTATGGCTGAGTACTTCAGAAACGGCAGCCTGCTTGTCCTCAGGATGCCTTTGGCACAGGACAAGCTTTTCAGTTCGCAGTCAGCCCACTCAGACACGTGTGATTGGTGTTCTGCTGAGGCTGGGGATGGAGGCTGGAAGGGCAGGCCCCACACACAGTGTGGATGTTCTGCTGGGACGCTCCATCAGTGCCGTGTCTCCCTCTCTCCGCAGGCGGCATGGGCGAAGCCGTGTGCGCCGCCGTGGTGGGCGAGCCCGGCGTCACCGTCACCCGCCTGGCCGTGTCCCACGTGCCCCGCAGCGGGAAGCCAGCGGAGCTGCTGAGGATGTTTGGCATTGACAAGGATGCCATCATGCAGGCGGTGAGGGCAGCCCTGTCCAAGTCCAGGAACGCCGAGTAGACGGGAGCATCTCGTGCTGTGGAACGAAGAGCTGCGTTCGGAGAGGTTAAGGCAGGCAAAGGTGCTTTATGTAGAGAGTTCTAATAAAAATACCAGCTTAAAAAACCTTCTGGGGTTCATCTCTTCTTTTCTCTGTGGGGTTTGGTGTTGTAGGGCAATACCTGCATGTTTAGAGCCCCTCTCTGCACTACCCCCAGCCATTTCAAACCAAAGGCAAGGAGGAGGTACCCAATGTGCTGGGTGGTGCTGAGGTGGAATGAGATGTTCCAGGTCCTGGGGAAACAACGGGGAGGTGAGGCCCAGCTGGCTGAATGGTAACACAGACAGCACAGGTGAAGGAAAAAAAATTGGAACTCCTCATAGGAAATTGTAGTTTTGAGTGCTTGGCTGATGCTACAGCAAGGGTGATGCTGAGAAGGACTAAAGGATCTGGAAGAAGAGCAGGAAATTCCCAGGTACTCAAGGGGATGCAGCTCAATGTGTAAGTTGCTTTTTTGTTGAGACCTGACTTTTCTCATGGGACCTGCTGTAAGTGGCTTAGCTGTTCATCTCACATGGTGGGATGCACTTGGTGACTTTTTAAATGTTTTGCAGTTTTTAAATGTTTTGCTTATTTTGCCCTTAAGCAATTTCTGTTAAAATTAAAAATTTATGTTTACTGCAGAGTACCAAATTTAAAACATTAAGTATTGAAACATGTTTCTCATCTTGACTGTTCCACAAATTGCCTTTCAGAAAGACATTAGACAGCAGAGGACACCAAAAAAGCCCTTTTCATCAGAGCAGGGTGACTGTAGTTTTCAGTTCACCCAAAAGCCATTTGCCTCTAGCATGGCTGCAGTGCTCTGAGCAAGACTTTATTTGCAGGCTAACACAAAATATACAGTAGTTTGGGATGGTGAAATATTTCTACAAAGACATATAAAGGAGCATATAAATACTATGAATAATTTATATTCATCCTTCTTGCACAATTTAGCCCTTGAGGCATTGGGTGGCAGCTGTGGTGTGTTGGTGCAGGCCTGAGTGCAACTCTTGGCATTTCTGGCAGTGCAGCTGGAACTGCAGGCAAGAGTGGCTGGCACTAGTGCTTCAAACCTTGTACAACAAAAAGTAACCTTTCTAACTTCCTGAGCAAGGCTTGAAATTGTTCCTGTAAAACTCTGAGCTGCTTTCAGATTTACATTTCCTTAAAAGTCCATGTTTATGGCTTTTTCTGTTCAACTGGTTGCCTTCATCGTTCTGTGGGTATGAAGACCTTACATTTTTACTTAAAATGTAGCTTTGTTGCAGTCTTCCTATGGTTGCATTCTTGCAATGTGTAACACATCCTATAATGTTAAAGTTTCGTGTTTATTTTATTCAAAGAAAGAAAAAGGTTGGAGGATGAGTCAAATCAAACACTTTGTTTTTCCCCTGAGAAAAGACGAAATCTGCTGTTGTTAATAACAATCTCATTACTGCAGCACTCTGTCAGTGCCTGTAACATCTCCCCAGCTCTCCTCGGGTGGAACCACTGCCCGCCCCTGCTCCGAGTTCTGCCCCAATGGATTCATCAGCCCCAGTGCCGGCACCGCGGGGAGACAGGGCCCGCCTCTGCCTGCTCTGGGCAGCACCAGGGGGAGGAGCAGGAGGCCAGAATTCCGACAGAAACAGCCAGAGCCTAAGCCAGAACCAGCACAGGCCAGTGGTCTGTTGGTTCTGGTACAGCACAGGCAGACTGATGAGGTTTGTAAAATGAGAGCTGCACCAGCATGTGGCTGCCTGGGGCAGGGAAGGTGGCTGTTTGTGTTTCAATGGAATTGAACACAAAGCTGTATTTCCATTGTCTTCCAAGCTCTGCTAAGCTCCAAACCACTTCAGAATCCAGAGGGGGCCCTGTACTTCAGTTTCAGGTTTATTTTGGAGGGAAAGGAGTGATGTTTTTCAGAGGTTTCACATTTCAGTATTTCACATTGGCCATTTGGTTGCTAGGTTCACCTCATAAAGCAGTTCCTTTAGTACTGGAAATCTGGACAGCCAGGTTTGGGGAACTCTCCTGAAATACTCCTCCTAGGCAGCTTTCCTCATGCCTGTGGGATGAAGAAAAAGACAGCTGTCAGGACTGCTGTATTCACTGTATCCATGCAACTTTTTCAGTATTCTTCATGTTTTGTGTCCTTAAACATGAACCAGGAGTCTGTCTGAAGACCCAACAAGTGAAGACTCCCTCCAGCCCTTGAGTTTTTATTTAAGCTATAGAATTCTTACACAAGACACTGCCAGGAAATAATACCCCATACAGGGTGGATTATTAAAAATGTGAAAATGTTCTGCCACAGGGAAAGAGTCAAGACTAAATAATTTCCAAACCCAAGCAGCTGTAACGAACTGTAGTAAAATACTCCTTTTTTTTAAGGCAATCAAGATGGGAAATTGTCATTTAACTGAGTTGATCTTAATTCTTGGCCAAATCAAGGTCCAGGGAAGACATGCTGTCAGGAAAAAGAGCACTGTACCTCTTGGCTTGAATTTGTCAATCAGAGGAACAAAACTGTCAAGGACACTCCGAATTCGGTACACTGGGTGTGAAAACAAACATATAAGGTAAGCAACGTAAAACATAAAAAAGTAAAAAATGGCAAAACCCAAACACTGACACTTGTTTAAACAAGCACATCTGCAATACCATTAATAAGAAAGATCAGGCTGAGTCATGAGAGAACCATCCACAACCTCCCACCATGTTAACATGAGATTACAGAGGAGACAAGTTCTTGGTTGGGGAGCCATAACTTGCTGCTGGTAGCAGCACTCCTATACCATCCTTAAGGATTGTCAAAATGCACAGGTTTTAATATTTCCAGTATCTGCTGCCCCAAGCTCATCCTCAGTCCCAGGGGAATGCATGGCAGCCTGGATGCACAGCATCTTATCCAGTGGATCTGGGAAGACAGGCCTGGCTGCTAAAATTACTCGTTGTCATGGCAACACAGCATTCGGCCATTGCTGCAGAAAGAGGTGACTCAGGGTCTTGTGATCACTGAGAAGGAAAAATGAGTCAACCTCTCCCTTCAGTAGCACTAAGGCTGCTTGTCTGCATCCCCTCTGTAATTGGGAGATGTTGGGGGAGTTTCATGGTGAGTTACAGAATCTCAGCCCCAGCAGTTTCATGGGCTGTGGCAACTGCATGACCTTGTCCTTAGAGCAGGGACACAGCTGCTGCTGGAGGGACACTTACCTAGACCAAAGTATATCCCAGTGGTTTCCAGGGAAGCAAAGGTGATTAAACCAATCCCAAAAGAAATAGTCCAATCTAAGGCAACAAAATAAATGTTAGCTTTGCTCATTTTTCTACAGCACAATGATACATCCTACTATTGAATCTTGCCTTACCTTTGTGGTAGTAGTAGCAAACTAGTAAAGCTCCAATTGCAAAGCAAAGAATAACAAAATGAAAGAATTCATCTGAAATTGAGAGGGAAGATTAGGTCACAACTGCAGCCATGGCCCTTCCAAATTCATCTTTAGCTACAGAGTATCACTCATGGAATTAAATCAATTTCCCTGAGATTTCTCAGGGACTAGGCTCAACATTGTGAGAAGCCTCGATGATTTTCATCACGAAGCCTTGATGCACTTCAACAAAGCACTGATGTTGGAAAAATAAAGGATTTTTGAACCAGAGATCTTATTCTTGGACTAAGGTTCAACAGGTTTGCCATCAGTTTGATTCAATAAATCAATTACCATCCTTCCGTATGCCCATCCACCGTACTGTGCACTGAGGGGGGTGAGTGCTCTCCTCATAAGCTACAAAAAAGAGAAGTCTTTCAGTACCATAGAACTGTGAATTCAAGGAGTTCAAAGTTTATTTCTCTTTTTCTATCTGAAACAGATTGTCAGAGCAGAATATATGTAAAACTGTTTGTTGGTCTGCAAACCTTTCAGAAAGATCAAATTAGCAATTTTAAAATCACTCCAAAGAGCATGGGTTTAAAAATGAATTTTAAAAAGTATAACCAGATGGCTGCATTAACAATACTGAATTGTTTTAAAGCACTCTGAGTCTTTTCTGCCTCTTCTGGGACAAGCCATAGTCTCAGAATGACAGTGGGGGAGTAAAGCCACAGTACAAGGGAGCTTCAGTTGGATTCCTGGCTGCTTTGCACAACCACAGGCACAGTAAAAAGCTCCCCTTCATTACTGAGGGTGTGAGAACCATCCCTCTACTAACACCTGACACCAAGTACTTCTGCACCTCCCAGAGTGAGACCTGCTGCTGAAATGAGTCTCCTGCAGCTACACTGACAAAGAGAAAAACAACATAAGAACAAATAAGGTATTTTAGAAGTTTAAACACAGAGCAGTTTGCTCTTTGTCATGAGCAGAGTTGCCAAATTCTCTTTTCTCTCCACCTGTATTGCCAGAAAGAGCTGAGTTTTTTACCATCTCTCCAACAACAGGTTTAAAGCAGCAGTTTTTTCCTTTTGTCTTTGTTGGTGGTTTGAGCAGCCCCTGAGGCACCTGCTGCACCCAAACCTTTGGGAGTTCATTCAGAACAAGTTTCAGGTGCTGATTTCCCCTTCACTGGGCAGCCTCTGCCTGGCAGTGAATTCTCTCTAAAGATGTAACAGGTGAGTACTAGAGGGGTCCTTTACATGAGATGTAGACTTTTGCTGTGGTGCTTTTGAACCACCGAACAACTAAACCTTGAACAGAACCTCTGCTCTGGGTCACCTGATACAGACATCAGATCTTTGCCTCTTTGAGCAGTCTGGATTGATCACATTCTGGTTTGGGGGCAAACTCAATTATTTTCTTCTTAAAAACATAGTATTGCATTATTCTGACTCACAGATACAACTCTGTGCATTTGTATGAATGATATATAGATAAAGAATTTAGCAGAACACCAATTCACACTTGGCAAGTGTCTGTCCTGTATTACTCTACTTCCTAAATGCAACAGTCCCACTGTAACTTGGCATCATGGAATCACTTGCACAGTATTTTTTCTGTTAAAGCATTTCATGTTATTACCTGTTTTCAACCTTCAACTTTTTGATTAGGCAATCTCTATGCATCAAGGAGCTGGAATTGCCCTCATCACACTAAGCAAAACTCCTGAAAGAACATCCACAAAATAAACTTATTTGCATGTTTGTACTCACCATCTACATCTGAATCTTCTCTTCTGGCAATCTCTGAAAAGAAATACAGTTTTGTTACTTCTGATGGAAAAAATACAAATATAGAGCTTCCCACCGTACTCAGCACCAAGAAGCACAGTGAGCAATCACCTACCTGCAACAAAACCGGGGTGAGTGGCAAGAGGAAAAGTACCATGACCCTTTCTGCACCTGGCAGTGTGGGGAGAATATGGCCCTGCAATGGAACCCTCTGCCCTGATGTTCCTGTGGCTCCTTGTGGATAGGTAACTCAAAAACCTCCCCAAGGGATTATACTGCAATTTCTAACTTTCCACTGCACAGAACAGAAGTGGAGCAGATGTCCTCTCCAAAGGCTGCTCCACTGGGCTGTTTGTCTCTCCTAACTCATCCTCTGGCCTTGGCCTGGGCACAGGAGGGATGAGCTCAGTAATGCAATTAAGCTGTTGGCAATTTCCTGCTGTGGGCTTTTACAAACATTCTGGGGCTGTGCAGAGTGTCTGGTGGGAGGAAGTCTGCCTTCACACTGCCTGTCTGTGCAGGCCTCTTGCCTGGCACTGTTGCTTTGCTGCTGAGGCTTTCACCTGGCACCTCCTGCTGGGAATGCTGTGCACTCAGAGCCAAGCATCACTGCTGGCAGAAAGCAGGTTCCAGCTCCTCCCAGCCTTGCACCCCTGCTCAGCAGGGGACAGAGGGCTTCAGGGAATGCTAAGAACTGCCTCTAGCTTTTTTGGCTAAGACTGAACAGTTGCCCAACAGAACTGCTGGGTTTTTCCCTAAAAAATGACTGCTATGAGCTGATCTTCTGAGAACCTGGCAGGCCTACAAAAATGGGTTGATCTGCCAGAACACCTTGTGCAAATCACCTGCTGTCAGCCAGGCACTACCACAGCCTTGCAACAGAATGCGTGCACCATGCCCAGGCCCAACACCAGGCTAACTGGAAACCAAGGGATTTACAGCCTGAGTTATTTTTAAATGTCTCAGCAGGTCAGAAAGAAGGCACAGCAGTTATAGTCATTCCAGCAGGATGAGGTGACCTGGGAGCACTTACCTGAATCTCTGTAGGGAACCACCTCTTCTGGTATTCCTAAAACATGACACAGAGATGAGGTAGGTTAAAACCTGCAGTGAGGGTGTCTGTGCCAGTGCAGCCCATCAGCTCCCTGAAATCAGTGTGGGTGTGTAACAGAGACAAGGAAGAGACCAACTCTAACCCCTTAAAGAGGGTGCCTCTGCTGGGGGTTATGCAGTAAAAAAGTGGGAAATGAGTGAATTCTTCCCCCCTGCTATTCCATCTCTCCAAGTATCTGGAGGGGTAGAATGATTCAGGTAGAATCAGACTCCTGTGAGACAGATTAGATCTCCTAATTTCAATTTTAAATTAACTGCTCTTACATTTGGGCTGAACTCAGTTTAAGACATTAATTAAAATGTTAACGCTTTACATTTTTACATCCATAATTGTATAGGTATTTCTGTGTATTGACACAGCACATTTTCCTCATCTGCATTGTACTTATTTTCCACTTTTCCTTTGGTAGGAAAGGAAAATCCTCAGGAACAAGGTGGCCCTTGCTGATGATCTCCAGTCAGTGCTGTGGGCTGACTGCAGCCCCTCTAAGCAGTGGCTGTGACTGTGACTGTGTTTTCAGAACCCTCTTGCTGCATTTCAGTGGCAGCTGTGCAGACCCAGGCAGCAGGACTCCTCCCACAACAGCAGATTTTGCTGCTTTCCTGGTTCAACTCTGAGCACAGGGCATGGCTGAGTGTCAGCATTAGTTGACCTTCAACTTGTAGGAAATGTCTTTCCTACAGCCAAATTCTGACTTGTCTTTCTTTTACATCTACGCATTAATATACCTTTGCTCAACAGCCAAAGCAAAGAATACAAAAAATAATCCCTTTTTGGTTTACATTGGTTGCCTCTAGTAATGTCCTACCTCCAAGTAACTGGTCTTCAATCTTCTGTATTCTTATTCTTAAATATTCCTCATCACTGTCTGGATAGGAGAAAATATTTGTTCATCAGAGTAAAGAAAAATGTGCTAGCAGCATCAGAAACAACAGCACTGTAGTTGTTTGCTCACAATGTAACCATATGAAGGTAAAAATCAAGGCTTTGAAATGCAGGGATCACTATTGGCTGCTTTTGCTTCACAGCTCCCTTCAAAGCTGGCTGAATAGGTGAAGCTCAGCAAAACCTGAAGATGGATTAACTTGTATAAAGGACTGTAGAGAGAAGTTAGGATCTTTTATTTGGGGAAGGAATTTGCAGCAGATTTCTATATTTCTGAAACCAACGTCCACAAGAGTGGGTGGCAGCCACTGTTTTGCTGATTATGAATGAGGTACTGATGATTTTCTACATTCTCTCTTTTGCACAATTTCTTACTTAATTCAGAGCTCTACAGAATTGCCACATCTCTTTTGTCAATCCTTACAAACATGCAGACTAAATTATGTATCATGAAAAATAAAATAAATCCTCTTTACCTTGTGTATCTTCATCCATGGACTCCTGGGCTGAGTTTTCAGACTTTTTGTCCTCTTCTGAATATAGAAAATTCCTTTCCAAACTCTTCAGGAGTTTCAATTTTTCATCTTTTTTATAAAGAGAGAAAAAAAACCATTATCAGTGACTACATTTGCTATTTTACAATTACAAATTTCCCAATGCTTTATTAAAAGTTGCCTGACAGGAAATCAGACCCTTTGTCTAATTTCAGTTGTGTTTTTAGCACACAAAGGGTAGTACAAAGCATCAAATGAAAACACCACACACACTACAGTTTAGACCTTCTTAACTGGTTGTGGTAGACACCTAAATTTTCATATTCTGGCGTTTAATTATTCATAATGTTACCCCTGTGCAGATTCCCACTCCCTGAAGCAGCAGCAGCTGGAGAGGAGCGGCTCACCCTGCCCTGGGCTACTCCTGCCAGGGCTCCCAGTGCCGACGCCGCGGCTGCAGCTCCCTCTCGTGGCACAGGAGCACAGCCCTGACAGCCAGGCCACGCCAGGATCCCAACTGCTGCTGCCTCCTGTGGCCAGGGGTGACCCTGAACACCATCTCTTCATCTGGAGGCACAGTCAGGTAGATGGAATTCGAGGCTGCTCACAGCCCTAAAAGGTCTTGTTACCAACATTCCTGCTCTGAGAGATGACCAAAGCTGGGCTGTGCACCAGGCTGGGAGGTCTCTCCCCTTCAGGAACATGTTTAATCAAGGCAGAAGGAGGAACAGGATATCCTTGAGGGTCCCCAGATAAATTTAGGGTCATCTTAAGTGAGTGCTCCTTTGTCATCTGTTAAAGACAATTAATGACTATGGACCCTGTGAAACTGCCCTTAGTTCCTTACTGCACAACCAGGCAATTAAGTCTCTTTTATTTTGTTGCCAGGTTCAGCACCCTGTGTGCCATCCCCTGTCCATTCCTTTTAGTTTTACATGTGCTGCTAGGGAATTATATTTGTACAAGTATTTTCATTTTTAGTTTTACATGTGCTGCTAGGGAATTGTATTTGCACAAATATTTTACTGGCTCAGCTCTGATTTCCTACCACTGTGAGTGCTCAGGGGGGTCATGGCTGGCTGGATAACAGTCTGTGCAAAAACATCAGGGAAAATGTTCTCAAGTCAGAGAAACTTCTTTGGCAGCACCATCCCAGGACATGCTCTCTCCCTAAACACAGGTGGGTTTTCCCCAGAAGAAGCCAAGTCTAAATGCAATAAAATACTAACTTTGGCTCTCCTTACCACCACACCTAACTGCTTTTCCTGAGCAGCACTTCCAGACAGTTCAGTTGCTCACTAATAATCACTTCCAAGCACATACCAGTGTTCAAGCTGCTGTCAAGTCCCACTGACAGCTGACAGGAGGACAGGTAGGACTCACCCTTTCCCTTGGAGCTGAGCAGCTGCGTGTACCCAGAGGGGTTGGAAGTCTTCAGCAAAAGGTAAAGAAGAACCATTGCCCTGGCTCCTTTCTTCTCTATGGCTTTCAGGCAGGCAGCACAGCCTCCAGGGAGGTCATCACAGCTGTTAAGGAGCTGGAAAGGAGGTCAGTAACTAGCAAATGGTCTTTCCAATAAAACACAGCCTGTAGAAGCACACCCTAATGGGCAAATGAGTGTATCCCACCCTGTGGGAAATGTAACCCCCTGCTCCCACTACACAAAGGGAAAACGGGACACAGTCATGTCAAAGAAGGGAAGAGAATGTAAACTCCATTCAGCAACTGGGAGCAGAGCCATCAGCTGGGAAAAACAGCATGGTGGGCAATAGTTAACTAATCAGAGAGCAGGAGAAATACAGCTATAGGATCTGAAAAAGGCCATGCAATTGCTGCAGTTTCTCACAGCAAAATGTGACTAACAATGGTCCTGCCTAGAACACACTGAGCTGAGCTGATCCTGAGGAATTTATACAGAGCCAGTTCTTTTAGCACATGGAGAGCAGTGAAATAAAAAGCAGTGGCCTGAACCGCATTTATCTAAGTGCCCTGTTACACCTTCTAATATATATTTCAGTACATCAGCTAGTGGGACTGTGTTCTCTCTCCCCAGAATATAGGAGAAAAGTAAAATAACAAGGATAAGTGTTCCTTTGGTAACTTACACTGTTCTTTTCTTCAGTATTGAGGATAGGTGGGTCAGTAGTGGCCAAGAATTTCACAAGTGATTCCCAGAAGGACTGGTTCATTTTCTCATGATTCTCCAAGTAATTGGCATCAGCAGCAAAAGCTCTCTGAAAAATGTCTGTAAGGAAAACAAACCTGTCACTGTTCAGGAGTAGGGGGGGTTTCATGGCAGTGTTCCTGTGGTGCTCAGGTATGGAGACAGACACCAGGCTGTAACACACTGCCCAGTAACAGCACACAGGAAAGAGCTGCTGTATTGTATAAAGCATCTCAGTCTGCCACAAAACACTAGACAAATGTCAATACTCCATAGGAATGACTGAGTCTCTGTGATGCTGTTGTCTCAGTTAGAGAAGCATGGCAAGTGTTCCCAAAGTATTCCTAGCTATTTAACAAGTGTTTATTCTGACCCTGCTGTTTTACAGACAGGCACAAAGACCCCAAGGACTGCATACCAAGGCACTGACAGGAGGACATCAGGCATTTAATGCACAGTAAAGTCTCCTTCATGTATCTAAATTCCCACTTGCATGTGCACAAAGCCTAACAGGAGCCTGTGGAAGAGCTGGGAATTGAGTGCTGGTCACTCTTTACAAGCAAGGAGATGGATAGGGTGTGTTTTCAGAGGAAACAGATTTTATTGACTCATATCCAGCCTGGCAAACACTGCTGTGCACTGTGCATGAGCCAAAGCTCTGATCTTTGTGTGCTTCCCTCACCTTGCTGTTCTTCAGTAAGATCTGGGACTGGGACATCCAAATTCTCCATTGCTGTGCCTGTTTGAGAGGGGAGAAAAAGCACATTTAGAATCAGGTCACTGACCTTCCTGGTTTTCTGCCTGTGATTTTCTGCAAACACAGTGTCTGTCTCTGGGCCTTTCAGTTTTGAAATCACTTCTCTGTTTCACATCATGATTCATTTACCCTCCTGGGACCCAATTCTTGAGTCCTCCAAGTGAGCCCTACTGGCCTTTGGTTATTAGGAAAGAACAAAAGTCTGATCATCATGAGTAAAACAAAAAGAAGTCAGACTTGATCATTCACATTGTTGTTTTGTAAAGCTACCAAGGTGTCTAATTAAACATTTACCACAGATGTGAGTAACCTAATAGGCTGGGTTCCATTCACGAAACAGAACAATTATCCTGTAGCTTTTACATCCCAATACTTAAAATGTATCAGCCAGGAAAAAGAGCAGAAATAGTTCCTAGGAAAGTCCCACAAGACTTTGAACTCTTGCCTCACAGAAGACTTTGATACTTCAATGTCTGTTCTTCCCAAGTTGTCATGAAATTTCCATAAACTTTAGCTTTATGAATTACAAACTTTTAAGTGTTGATCCCAGACTAATTATTGGTATTTGCCAAAGAAACAAATGATCTGACATCCCCAAAATTCAGCATTTAATTCATTTTTATAAACTTGCCACAGAAGTTTTGGGCTGAGGCTGGAATATTCTGATGGTGCACATTTTGTGCTGGCTGTGGTTCTGAACTGATGCCTCTGCCTAGCATGGTCCAGGCATTCTGCACTGATGCATCTCCCCTTGTGCAACACTGCAACCAACCAACAGCTGCACTGAGAGCTGCAAAAGAAGGGTTTTGGGGAGCCTAAAGCACAGTTGCCACTATGCAGGATGCAACAGTCAAACAGGTGGTATGTCCACACATTTTCTTACAATATGATTTTGGATCCATTCAAGAAAACACTTCCAATCAAGCAGTTTGAAAACTAAGTATACCCTTCAAACTTCCAGAGGAAAACCTGTTTCTTTTCTCATTGGTATTAGGACAATCATATCAGTCCAAAAAACATTCTAATACAAAACCCAAAACAGGTCAGTAAATATCTTCAGAAGGATACTGTAACACATAACCAAACACTCAAACAGAACAACTTTTTAGGGTGTCAGTTCTCAGACAGAGGAACTTAGACACAAACAGACTTCAAAAGACTTCTGGGAAAATTACATAACCACTTTCAAAGGATCAGCTCAGAAAACTTGGCTTACCTGCCTCCAAAGTGTATTGAGAGAAAACAATATTTTAACAACATTTTGAAATTATTCCAGTGATGAATCTATGCAAAAGATCTACAGATCTTCCCCTTCCCCTGACTTACATCCAGCCTTTGCTGCTGCAGCTGTGGCAGCAGCCCTGTGGGAGCTGTGAGCACCGATAGGGAATGCAGGAAATGCATCTGTCCCCTCTGTGGGTAAGCAGCAGCTGATGTGGAAATGTAGGAACCCAGCACACCACACCCTGGACAGACTCGTTCTTGGCCACTCAGTGTCAGTTCACAGCACTTAGATATCTCCAGCTACAGTTTTCTGCCTTTTTCAGTCTCTTTCCTGCCTTCCTATTTGCTCAACTTAGACCTTGCAACAGTTGCTTGTTTAACCTAAATCCTTTATGCCTCTCTCTGGACTGCATAATTAAAACACCAGAGCTAAAGGAACAAAAGTACTTTAAATATAAACATTTTTTCCCAGCTGATTAATTTAATTTCAGAAAATAATTTAGAAGTATTCTGTTATTTTACTGTCTAATGAAACTCAGGAGGTTTGTCTTTGGGGTTCCTCATACCTAGTGACTTTCAGTGGCATTTTAAGGCAGATTGCTGTTCCCCTGACAGGAACCTGTCACAGCAGCTGCCCTATCCCAGCTTTGCATCATCCCAAAGACAAAGTGAGCAGGTTGGCACTACCTGACCTGTCCTGCCACGCACACAGGAAGAGCAGATTCAACAGTGAAGGCAGGGCAGGCACTGCCAACATCATCTTCATCTGCTATCAGACTGATTTACTTCAAAACTATTCATTTGCTGACCCAAATGAGCCAGCACACTGCTCAGCTGTTCCAGCAACAGAAACAGAGTTGCCCAATGCATTTTTGTATCGTGCTGTGGTAAGACCTGGATGCCACAGGAGGATCCAGGAGCGCTCAGCATCTGCTCCCATCTCCCTTTCTGTGCCTCCAGCACAGCTCAGCCCAGTCAGTCACCAAGATTTACATTAGCCAAGGAAGTTGGGTAGCTAATTTCTCTTAGACTATGCACATTAATTCCCTTGTGGCTCTTCTGGAAAGAAAATCAGATCTAAACAAAGGATAAGTATAGGTGCCTAATTATTGTATGTTTTAAAAGTGACTTAGTTGATTATACCTCATAATGAGAGAAGGATGATGATATACAGGCATTTCAGCCTGGCCATGAGCTCACTGGGGAATGACATGAACAACAGACCTCACCTTGCTTTCCTCAGTAAATCAGAATTTAATTGTAGTGAGGTCTTTTTAACGTGTTAGAATAAAACTTCTGTGAAGAGTCAGATTTAGAAAGGGAGGATAACAATTTCCATGAAGTTTTGCTTAGCTGATTAAATATATCTGAGGGAAATTGCTCAATGGGAAAACAAAAAATATGCAAATAAAATAAAATAAGATTGTTTGAACTTCAAGACAAAAATCAGACAATCCCAGACCTTTTCCCTTTGAAACTGCTTTCACCTTTCATTTTAAGTTATATGCTGACACCTAAACCTGCTAAATGTTATTATAAAGTCCCTCAATTGCCTTCTCTCAAATCAAACCAAAGCACACCTGCAAGTCTCAGGTTGGTCCTAGCTGTTGGTTCCACAGGAAGACGTCCTGGAGGGCCGTGGCCGTGGTGAAAGCTGAGTTTCTTCCTGTGAGACAACAAAAGCTGATCCACACCAGTTCCGTTTGAAACCTTCCTGCTCCAGGCTCCTCGGGCTGTGCTAATAACTCTGCTACCCTTCTGCTTGCCTTCCTGTTGTCAAATGCAGCTGAAATGTGACAGAGAAGCAGCAAAACTTGGACTTTTCACTCTCCTTGAACACAGGCTTGTAGAGAGACCCAGCGAGTGCAGGTCTCTGCAGCAAGGGCAGCTCCCAGCTCTGACAGCCCATGGGGGTGAGCAAGGAGCAGGCACAGCCCAAGCACTCCTTGCAGCTCCAGCACTTCCTTCCTCCCCTGGCTTTCACAGCAGGCCCAGACACGGTGGCTGCACTGCTGCCAGCCCCACACCTGTGAGCCCTGGGGGGGTTGCTGCCCATTTTCCAGCTCTGCCTTAAGCATTGACGTGCAACATTTGAAATTACTCAGTTTGTGTTTCTCCTTTCACACCCTGTGCCTCTCTGTGGTAGCTGTAAAGCTCTAAAGGAAGAATATTAGCTCATCAGAAGCCAGAAATGTTTATGCTCGTAGCCTGAGTAAAATTAAGGCAAACAAATCTTTCTCTTTGCATAAAGTATTGGACTTGCTGCGAGGAATTTAGAGAAAAAAAAACTAATTAAAAGATGAGGAAGTTGAGTCAAAAAGACTCCAGTTGAGTCAATAAGAGAGATTATAGGGAAGTCCTGTAATCCCCACAGCACCAGCACCCTTTTCCTGTACGGTGGCTCGATGCCTCAAACAGCAGCCAATAACCCAGCAGTACCAAGAGCCAGCAGGCAGCCCCCCAGCACCCTCAGGCTTGGCCCCAAGAAGCCCCTGCACCCTCCCCAGCACTCACCTGCAGGGCCGGGTGGTGGTTCAGGATCCTGGCTCAGGGATCCCAGCCCAGGGAAGCGTCGGGGCCGGGGCCTCACGTGGTCTCCCCTGAGTCACAGCTGAGCGGCGGCGGCTCCGTTGTCCTGTGGCTGCTGAGGTCACACTGCAGGCGTGTCCCCATGTCCCTGAGCCCCGGGGATGTGCCCATGGGCCAGTCCCACTGGCACAGAGAGAGGAGCTGTGCAGCTCCCAGCCAGCCTCAGGTAGTGATGGCCCTCAGCAGCCCTGAGCAGCCAGGACCCCTCACTCCTGCCTGTGGCTGCTCCAACACAGCCCCTGCTCAGGCTGGAGACCCAGCCCCGCTTGTTTGGCCTTCCTGGGACATCAGGAGACCCCAGCCCCGCTTGTTTGGCCTCCCTGGGACATGAGGAGGGCACTGGGGATGTAGAATCTGCTCTGTGGGGAGTGGCCTGGGCTCTGCTAAAGCTAAGCAGGGACACCATGATGAGGGTGTGGAAGGCCAGGCACGCTCCCCTCCTGCTCAGGGCATCCCAGGATGGCACAGGGGGACTGCCTGTGCAGCTGGGCCAGTGGTAGCAAAGGGAAACGTGCCCTCCACCCCACCTGTCCCCAGCAGCCACAGAGGGTGCTGACAACACAGACCCTGTGGCTCTGCTCATCCAAGACCCACTGTAAGGACACTGGTGCTCCCCTCCAGCCCTTCTCAGCCCCTCTGACACACATCTTACAGCACAACAGTATCTGCAGCCACCCAGGGCTGTTTGCTGCTCAGGACAGCTGCTCCCTCACTGGCAGGTGATGCTTTCTGAGCCAGCCAGCCTCCACCACAAGGAAACAGGAGTAGGAAAGGAGGGGATAAATTCCTGCAGTGCACCACAGCACAAGGTGGCAGATGTTTGTTCACCTGAAAATGTATGTGAGGAGTGACAGCCAGTGTCAAAGGAGACTCCTTGGGACACTCCAATAGCACAGTGGCTGTTGATTCCACAAGGTGTGGCCATGAAAGTAATTTGTCATATTCAGCTAATGGTTTGACCCTGGTGCAGTTGGTAGCCCAGGAAGGATTGTACTTCCTCCCTCTGCTCTCCTCACTTCTTCATCTCCTGATGCTTCTGGAGTGACTGGGACACAGGTGAAGTAAGTTATACCTACTAAAGTAGGTGTGCATTTATTTTTAACAGTTTGTTTGGCTGTTTGCTGTGGGGTTTTTGTATTTTTTAGAGGGGGAAAGGATTGAGGTTTGTGGTTTTTAAGTCAGGTATTCCACTACTTTTCTACAAGTGCCTATTCAAGTGCCTTGTCTCACCTCCCCTGACATTTTTAATTACATGTAACACTGAACACTTAAAGCAGCAAATACCCTGCATCTACTGCTGGGAAGATTATAATGCTTTATCATGTATTACATGTGTTTACCTGGCCCTTATTTGGGAACTGTCCTCTGAGAGATTAAGGAGAATGGTGATTTATTCTTTGTATGCTGGGAAAACTGCTTCCAGGAGGAGTTTTAGAGAGGTGAGACACAGGCAGAGCAGCTCTTATGCTTGACACTAATTGGGTGCAATGGGTGTGTGGATTTGTCACACAGGCAGGTTGCATGAGAAATGTAGAAATATTGCTAAGTGAGTGTAGGAGGGGCCCAGTGATGGAACACAGAGTAGTTATTGCTCATTATGTCATCACATTTCTGACAGATTTAAACAGTCCCATGACTCTTCTTGCCCTACCCTGACTTTCATCCAATGGGGTGGTTAAATTACTCCCTCCTGTGCTACTTACTTACTTGCTACTTATTTTGCTTTAAATAAAGTCTACTTCAACAATTGTTGTGAGCCTGTGAAGCACAGGTAAGTGCAGGGGGATTATGCCTCACTGCCAGCTGTATTTTGCAGGCTACAGGTGGTTTACAGGTACCTTTCTACTTTTAAACTATGAGACTTGAGAGAGAAGAAAAAAGCAATAAACAGTGAATACAACTCACTTCCTAACCTTCCAGACCATCATTGAACCAGTAACACCCTGTTATGCTGAAATCAGGTGAAAGATGTTTGCTTTTGGCTGGGACAAAGCCTGAGATTTTGCTATGAAAGCTTGTGGAATCATGAGTAGATCATGTTGTACCTTACTATGATTTTTGGAAATTTTTTTCTCATTCTGTACCCTTCTGTGGAATTACTTGCCATAATAAATAATTTATTGTACTGTGTTAATTAAAATACTAATACAATTTTTGCTAAAGCCCGTTAAATTTAAGAACTAGGCCAGTTTGAGCAGGCTAAATCAAAGGCCAGGATGTATCACTCACTTCCTGGAGGATTACTGAGCTCCCCAGGTGCTGCTATCAACAGCTCCCGAGGCAGAAGAGTGAGTGCTTCCAGTACTGACAAGCACAGGATCCTCCCCTTAATGGCTGCAGGTCATGGTGGAAATTCCCTCATTATGGGAACTCCCCTTTACTATGGGTCAGCACATTACAGGCTCACAAATGGCCTCTGAGGGATGAGAGGGAGGGGGTGTCTGGTCTCTGGGGCACTCTGGGGCACATTGGTCCTTCCAATTTAGCCACAAGGGCACTCTTCAGTTACAATCTGGCTGCTTTAGCCCAGGCCCATCAGTAGGACAGACAGTGCAGCCCCAGCACAAAGCACAAATCCAAAAAGGACAGGCTGCTGGCTGACAAGTAGGGAACAGTGAGCTCTTCCCAGCCCCTGGCTTGGCTGAGCAGTGCTGCAGCAAGCACAGGGATCAACACAGGGTCCCAGGATGCTCTCCCCACCCTCTGCCCTAACTGGAGAACTGCTTCCATGAGCAATCTCCAAAAAAAAAATCTGCTCCAGTATCTGCTCCTCTCCTCTCCTCGTTCTCCCAGCTCACTGGACTCCCCTTCCATCCCCAGTCTTCTGGTCTAGCAATAGGGCTGCAAGTGCCTGATGGGAGCAGTCAAAGGCAGGAGAACACAGATGCTCCCTGGGACAATTCCCAGCTTCAGCTGATCCTCCCTGTGACAAAGCCCTTTTCCTCAGCACTTTTAATCACACAGGCAACACCAAGGATTTCGATATTTAATCCTGATGTTTTGTGGGATGGGTTTGGTCCTGGATCCATTTTGTAACTGTCAGCAAGGCAGGCTGTGACCTGTCCCTAGTGCTTTGTCAGCACTGTACCTGCCAGGAGATGGCAAGGCGAGGAAGCAGAACAGCCTGTAAGGGTAAGGAGGCACGGGGTGGTTTCCTGGTGGGGTTACCTGCAGGCACAGAGGCAGCACAGGGAGTCACAGAGCCAGGCTGGGGCTGGGCCAGCAGCTCTGTGCAGCACCGACCAAACTGGCTGGGACATCCTCCAGACAAGGTGAACCTCAGAGCTCCCACCCAGAGTGGGAATCAGAGTTTGATCTATCCATTATTTCCCCAGGATACTATTCTCAAGCTTTTGCTCCAGGACACACCCAACAAGAATCCTCTCCTCCTCCAAAAAGAGGGTGTTGTCAATGACTGGCTTCACAGTGCTGTGATATAAAGTGAAAACACACAGGCTGGGTCAGATTGCACAGGGAGAGAAGGTAAATGGAAAGGTGAGCTCATGGTACAGCCACCCTAATGCTTTTATGCGCTCCAAGGCCAAGTTTCCAGCTCCCAGGACCTGCAGAGCTCAGAGCAGCACTGCTGGAAGCTTTTGGGAATTGGACACAAAGCCCCAGTGAATGTGGAGACCTCCCACACTCCTGTGACCTTCCCATCTCACTGACCTGGGGAGCAGCAGCCATGCCAGGCTGGCAGGGCCAATCTTCTGCTTGTGAGACAACTACTCCAGTGACATCAGTGATGTGGGTGCCTTGGCACCAGGATGCAAGCAGACACCATCTTCTGGGATCTTTAAAATTCAGCCTTGCAAAGCTCTTAGGATCAAAGTGCAGCTGTCCCTCAACAACTCAGCTGTGTCCTAAAACACTCCTCCCTTGAAATGGCCTCAGCTCACTGAATTATCAGGTTCAATCACCTGCAACATAAAGGGGATGAAGGTACATTTCACTTCTAAACTGTTTCCTAAAATCAAGGGTCTGCTCACAGTAGGCACTGAGAGCCCAAAGGGTATTTACTAAAAGCTAGCACTATTTGAGAAATCTGGTCCAATCCATTCATCTTAAAAGATGTACTCTGGACAGACTAAAACCTTTTTGGGCTATGCAAAGCTTGAATCAAATTCTGGACCTGTTCTGCTGATACCACACAAAGGGTGACACCAATACACCATGTCTTCCACCCAGATGAAAACACTACAGCCCATTCCCCAACCTTGGAGCCTCTAATGAGCACTGCTGGGCTGCTCCCATCACTGCAGGAGCCTGGCTGCCTGTCCAGCAGGCAGTGAGCACCACCAGCCCACTCACTGTCTGTCATCCAAGGGTGCAAACCCTTCTCAAGCTACAGACTGGCTCAGACTTCCCAGGTCAATTCTGGAACCTTCATAGGGGGCTTCAAAGCAGCTTCTCTGCAGTTCAGACTCTGGGAAAAGGTCTCAGACCACCAACAGGTCTCTGCTGACCACAAGTAGAGCACCCAGCCCTCTCAGGAGATGAGGACAGCATGGTATCAGGACACAGAGGACACAGCCATCTCTGCTACATTAAATGTGTGGTGGGAAGAACAGCACCACTAACACATCACATAAATCAGTCATCTAAATTAGAATACACAAATCCACTCCAGAAAAGTTTAATGTGGGTTCCTGGGGCATCATATTCTAAAAAAAAAAAACAAACCAAAAAAACAAACCAAAAACCAAAATACAGTACAAAGAAAAAAGGCAAACAGAATTCCCCAGTATTTGAAATAATGAAATGTATCAAAGCTCCATCTATTACAAGGCTGCACATCACAGCAGCTGCTGGAGGAGGCAGTACCAGCCTGAGGACCAGGAGGCTTCACTTCCCAGAGATAGCCTGGAATAAGCAGCACCCAAGCAGAAAACCTGGCTCCTTAGGGAACTAGTAAGGCTTCTTGAAAGGAAAAGGGCAGAACTCTGTAGAGCAGTGAGCTGCCCAGCATCCCTGCTCCTGGGGGATGAACCAGACAGGCTGATCCCACAGGGATGAAGGTCTGTGAGAGCACAAATCCTGGGGGGAATGGCAACTTCCAGCAGATCCCACCAACTGCGTGGCAAAACCTACTCCTCTGAGAAATCCTGGTGTGAGAGGAGAAAGTGCCATTCCAACAGCCAGTGAGGAGGCCAGGAAGGGATTGAGACACACCATGCCACTAGCTGGGAACAGAAACAAGCAATGGATCTCGAGTTAAGAGGTCAGCCCAGCACAGACACAGTGCCAGGGACTGTCTGTGGTACCACGTCTCCCATTCAGTCTTTGGATTGAAGAATCTCACCATAACTTAGGCAAGAACCTCTGCTGGTCTCTGCCTCAACCCCATCTCACTCAACCCAGGGCCAACTTCAACATCCAATTAGTTCAGGGCCTTCTCCAGATAAATACTGAGTTATCTCCAATGATGGAGACCTCAGGACTCCAGCACATGCACAGTAAGCAATGCACGGACCATGGCAGAGCTGCTTTCCTTCCATCTATCAATCTTCTTATGACAACAGGATAATTTGATATGGCCCCTACACCTAAGGGCAGTGAGCCATGGCTGTTCCACTTCACTGCAGGGCTGCTACAAAGCACTCATTTCCACAGGTACTGTGCTCCAAAGGCAGCCAAGCCTCCCTGATGTGCAGCCCAACTGACAGTAACCATGAGAGCTGAGGGAAAAACTGGAGGAGCACTTATTCAAACAATGAAAAACAGAGATTCCTATGGAGAACAAAACTGTGAGCTCGGAGGAGGACCTACATCAACAAGGAACCAGCTGATGTCAGCATCAAAAATATAACAAACATTAAGTAACTCAGGTGCTCAGTAAACACTGAAGGCATGACAGTGCCATCACGACAAAGCTAAGATTACAGTTGGAGAATATACCAAGACTTTTAAAGCCTGCTGGGAAGTAATAAAACCTTTGCTGACACCAATTCCATTGACTCCCCAACAAACACTAAATATGAGCAGTGAATCTGCAGATTTAGATGCCCACTGAAAAACTGAGATAAATAGAGGAGTGGTGGGGAAGGGCTGAGAGACTTCCTTCTCCTTGCCACTTGCCTCGCAGAGAGGAGAAACTCCTGTTCCCGGGTGCTGGCAAAGGGCCCTATCCTGTGGCATGTGCACCATGCCAGGTGAGCCTGCTGTCCCCACACTGCCCTGACATGTGCACATGTGAGGGCTGAGACACCCTCCAGACCACAGGGATCACCAGATTTTCTATGATCCCAACAGGAGCACAAAGCGCCCCAAAGACCAGCCAGGCGCCTCCAGGAGCTGACAACAGCCTGGCCCACAGCCCCTGTGGTGCAGCCCCCACGCGTGGGGAGGAACGTGTGCCCAAACCCCGCGGGTCAGGCGGATGGAAGGGCAGGCTCTGGACATCCAGGACGGT